AAAAAAAAGTATAATTCTAAATTGTATATAAAAAAAAATAGAGTTAAATTATCTACTTGAAACTTTCACAAGTTAACAGGAAAGTAACTTTTATCATTAAACTCAACTTACATTTATGTATATTAACTAAGCTAAAGTATATAGCAGCTTTAAGAATAAATATACAATTTATTGTTGTTAAAAAAACGTAAACTTACATGTTAGATTCATTTTTATGGTTTTTGAAATCAGATCTTGGGTCTCCATGTCTTTTCTTTTTTCTGGACTTGCGCTCTTTATCTTTTATTTCTTTAGCTTCATCCATCTTGAATCTTCTAAATCTGTCAAAATGAAATCCACCTTTGACAAAATCTTTCCAACTCTTGACTTCTAGAGCTCGCATCTTTGGCTTCTCTGTTGATCTTGACCTAGACCTAAACGAAAAATAATGTCACGGCGACATGAATTTTAAGCAGTAATAGTTTCGGGTAATTGATATACCTCTATTTAAATGATAATGTAAATATCAAATAGGTACAAAAAGTGCTCAGCGCTTCCTTCACTAAAGTTTATAGAATAATATTGCAGCAATGCTGACGACCCGGGACTTTGTTTTCTGTGGATAATTTTTGCGCTAAATATTTATTATCGGATTTAGTACAGTCTTTGTGCTGAGGAATAAAAATTGGGCAAATAATAACCTGGATTTTGAATGTGAACGATGTCGATATTTGTGGCTTCTTCTAGATTCATCTCGACGCCTGTGATGATGTCTACTCGAGCGCTTATCCTGTTCTCTAATCTTAGCTGAATATTTTTCTGCCAAAGACTCTATACCAAGTTTCTGAAGGATCGGAGCTTCGTTGCCTAAAATTAAAAAAAAATTTAAATTAGACTCTACACTAATTTACTTCAATAAAGCTTCTATTATAATAGACATATAAATAAATAAATAGTGAATAAAATATTTTGAGAAATCATTACCACAGAACATTTCTCTTCGAAATTAAGTTAGATAATATGATGAAATAGATTCAATTTCAAATGCAATAAAAACAAACTAATATACCAAATTTAAAAAAAAAATAACAATTACATATCAATTTAAAATCTAAGTCTGAAAATTTGTATGAAGAAGTTTTAGATAAAATGTACAGAATTTTACTACCTAATACATGAATTTATTTATTAATTTTTTAATATATATTTTTAGTTTTTTCTATACATCAATGCTATAAATTTCTTACAACGGAATACATTAGTTACATATTAAGTGTTCAACAACTGTTTTAAAATATTATAATTACCGCCACTTCTTAAGAGATGTTGATATAATGCTGCATTATTTCCTTGTAACAATTCATCTTTTTTCATTTCTTCAATTTGTTCAATTGTTTGTTGAGCCTTGATTACTTTAGCAACTATAAAATTAAAGCAATTGTACAGTTAATCAAATAATGCATTTTTTTTTAACATGAAATGGATCACGAAACAAACTGATATTTTAAATTTTGACAGTTATTACATAGCWATTACCATTGATTATAAACAGTATTTATAATCAATGCTATTACTTATTTTTAATATTATCTGAATACATGCATTTTTATACAAAAAAAACAAGTCTTTACAAAAAATATGGAAATAATAAAAAAAATAGCAATTCATTTTTATCATAATTTATAAATTAAGATAAGAAATTATTGTACATAAGGTGCTGAAATATATATAATAAAAATTATACTGACAAATATATAATGGTACCTGCTTACCTTTTTTATTAGTGACAACTTTTTTCTTTGTAACCGTTTGAAATACATTGTGTTCGGGTACAAATTCCACGTCATTTCCTTCTCCATTGTCTGGACTTTGATTATCAGTAATTGAATTATTTTGTTCTTGTAACTTTTGTTTCATCATTGAAAATGCCATCAGTCGTTTTTTTGCTTGGGATTTGCCCAATACTGTTGATGCTTTGGATACTTTCTCAATAGAGTCATCTTTGCCATTTAATGCAGGGGAGGTTTGCTGTTGATTTAGCACCTCGTTAAAAGTTTCAGTTGATTGCATTTGACTTTGTACATTAATTGAGTAGCTAGGTTGTTGAACCTGAGTATTATATGGTTGCACCTGAGCAATTAAAGGAACTTGCTGTTGCACTGGTGTAATCGAAGGCATTGCTGGAGGCTCAATGGTCTGTTTTATTATTTTGTCAATCTCAAGTACATTTTTTTGTACCTCAATTTGTTCAGATTTCACAGTTTGAAAGGAAGCAGCATTTGTAATTTGTGTAGTGTTTTCAATAAGAACATCAGATTTATGGTTTTCTGATAATACTTTCATTGTATCATCATCATCAGTTTCTGCTGTAGGAGAATACCTGCAACATAAATTATATATTTATTAATAGGTGTCAGCTATTCAATTATAAAATATATAGAGTTAATACCTATTAGAGTCGTCAACAGTAGTGTTGGTTTTATTAGCTGGTTTCTCTTCAACTGGTAATTGTACAGCATCTGGTGGTGGAGGGGGTTTTGATGTTTGAGTTTGATTTGCTTGATTAAAATTATAATTGTAATAATTTTGATATGGTTGATAATATTGTTGACTATTGTAATCCCATTGGTATTGAGGATAAGGATAGCCATAATAATTATTATAGTTGTACATATAATTATTGTAGTTTGCATAGTTCTGCAAGTTGTARTCAGCTGGGGCTGATCCTGCTGGTTTTTGTGGCAGTTGTCCATTATCATTTTTAGGTAGTGGTGGAAGAGGTGGCATAGAATTATCGGTTGGAACAATTGAACTAAGTTCAGTAGTAACATTTGCATTTTGAAAACTGACATCAGGTGATTCTACAGGTATTTGGTTTTCGGAATTACTAATTTGATCTATAATTTTTGAAGGYTCTGTATAATCATTGTTCAGCAATACATTTTCAACTGACTGACAGTTATTTTCAGTTAATAGCTGTTGTTGAGATGTATCGCATATAACATTTTCAGTTGCTTCAGAATTATCCATGTTTCTGAAAGCAAAATAAAATAAATAGGTATATCATTATTTTGAAACTCTATATTAAAACTTTTATTTTTAGTTTCCTAATTTAATTTTTGAAAAAAGGTTAAAAAAATAGGTGCCAGTTTCAATATATCCAATAATTATAATAAATCAGTATCTACATATTATAATCTACTCAGTGCTGTAAAAACATGATACCAGCAAATATGGCAAATGCTACCAGCAGGCCGGGACTAGAATGAAACAAGAAAAATCTTATTAAAAAAATAAGGGATAGGCACTGAGATATATAATAACATTAAATCCAGTAATGATTTAACATTTTCAAGAAAACGTAAAATATAACATATAGTATGTTCTTTATTAAATGATAGGAGATTAACAATAATATAGGAAAACTTTAAGGTCAAAGTAAATTACCCTATTCTTGATACGCAGTGTTGGGTAGTAATGTAACAAAAGTAACGCATTACTGTAACTTCATTAGAATTATTTCCAAGTAACAAAAATGTAATGGAAATTACTTTTGCCAAGTAATTTCTATTGAATAACACGTTACAGTTTCGAATTATCAAGTACCTACCTTTTGCGAATTGAAAAAAAATATGTCTATAATGCGGGTATTATTATGATTACCAATCTATTATAGTAATATACTAAACATATTTATTAAAGCTCTTTATAAAGCTGATCTCACAATTTTGAATTCAATGACATAAGTAAAGAATATTTTTATTAAATACAACACAGCTTTACCATCCAGTGCTTCTGTATAGCGATTATTTAGTGTTTCAGGGGACATTTATTCTAAAAAAAGAAGCGTATGACATAAACTTTGAAGATACACTATTGGGTAAAGTTAATTTAAAACATAAATAAATGTAAAATAATAATATTGTATTATATTAATAATTATAGTATATTGATTTATTTTTCAAAATATATCTATTTACTATGGGTAATGTATTTCTAGTAACATTATTGCTATGCTCAATGATAATATTGTTAAGAAATATAAAAAAATATTTATTTTTTTGTAACGAGAAAGTAATGAGTTACTTTTCAAATTGAAAAGTAAAGTAATTTCATTAGAGTAACGAATAAAGTAACTTTATTACTGTTTATAAGAAATTTACCCAACACTGTTGATACAGCATTATTCCAGCTCAATAAATGATTTATATTTCATATGATTAAAGTAGGTATATTAGTTCTTATGATTTGAAAATATTATWTTATATATTTTATTCTTCGAAGAATCAGTAGTTTAATCACCACATGATTTTAAAATGAAATATTCTTCTATTTTTTCTGATTTTATACATCAAATTTTCCTAGAGAGTACGTAACAGTGGAATTTGTTGTCTCCGTCTTACCGGAGTGTAATAKAGCAAATTTACGCTCAGCAGAACACTTGTAGCTCCTTTAATTTAAAAATTACAGTGAATCGACCTATTATGAAACTTGATGGTAAGAACATTATCTGTGTTGGTACGTTGGTTTTTTACGATAATTTAATTTTTAAGTGAGTTATGAGCATATAATATACAGTACATTAAAAATGCTCATGACTCACTTAAAAAAAATTGTAAAAAACCAATACTAATAAAACAAGCAACGACCTAAGTAAAAAACAAAAAGAATGCATAAAACACAACTCTTTAAAAATTATATGTCTGGAAAGGCTTTAAGGAGTTATTTAAAATCTTCAAACCATAGTAATTTGTGGTAAATAAATTAGTAATATAAAATAATTTTTTCACACAAGTATGTAATTTTTTAATGAGCTTTTCTTAGTTTCATGATACAATTATGTAAAGAGAACTTAGGTATATGGAATGGGAATTAACAACTCAAGAAAAACAAAAGAGTGCACAGTAAATTTTTGCATATAGGGCCCTAAAAATCAAATTAGATATCAGAATTGAAACCCACAGTAGTTTGGATAACAGAAAAGTACYCTAAGATGGTATAGAAACATATAGCAGTGGTTCTCAACATTTTTGGTGACTATTTTATTATGATACCAATAGTGTATTTATGTAATATGAATTAACTCTAACATTTAAGTACTMATAAATAAATATTTAATACTTATTTGCACATGACRAATAGGTAGTATAGGATATCTTTTTAATACCTATTTTAAAAGACTACTGCCCATCTAATATTTCTTATATTTTATTTACCAACAAATTTATAAAAAAATTAATTATAAAATAGGAAGGTACTACCTATATCCTGGGGTCTATCTTTTGATTAATTTTTAGGTATGAGTGTATAACAGTATTATAAATTTATAAGTAGGTATAAGAATATTTTGATCCATTTGCGCTTGAGTCCTAAAAATCTAGTAAGGTGAAAAATATTTCTAGGCCCAAAATTTTAATATTGACAAAAATGGCGTACCGTGGAGAGGAAAGAGGTCAATATGAAGTGGCCCTATCCTACATTTTCAAAATATGGGGGGCAATGATCTGACCTTAATATAGGGTTGAGCGCCTCTGTTTTGGTCAACAAATAAGATTCAGAGCACTAAGTACCTATTTCGAGACCAATTTAACGTTTTCTTCCTAAAATTAATAAAACAGTACTTATGGTATTGATGATTTGTAAATGCACTTAAATTAAAATTCTCAAGAGTATTTTTTAAATAAAAATGAAATTTTAAAAATTTGTTTTATTTTGCACAGTTAGGTACTTATATAATAATTTTTAAATGTCATGAAAATGTATAGAATGTTCACAGCTTAATGCCGGGTCCACACAGAGACGACAAAAGTATAACAAAACAAAATCTCTGTGTTTTTCGACAAAATCAAAACATTTTTAAAACAATTTTGTTTTTCCAACAAATTGTTATGTTTTGAAAAACAAAGTCGTGTCCCGAGTGGAGTCGGTAAACATCAAAAAGTTTTGGTTTTGTTGTTTTTGCGAACACTGTCGAACGTGTATGGACATGTTTTCAAAACAACCAACAGGCAATATTTTTTATCGGGATTTTGCGGGCAGTACCAATTTGGTTATTTATAAATATATATTTATTATATAATTAAAACGTCTTTTTATCTTATTATTTATTTTTTTACTTTGTAACTGTAGGTAAACATACCCWGAACTCAACATAAATAAATCTTCATCGTCTTAAATATCTCTTTTCAATTTCCACATTCTCACTCACAGTAAAAAAATTAAAACAAATTTGTAAGTAYGAAGAGTTTAGAAAGCTAGAACTTTGAAGACAGACTGAATGACCACAGATGAACGGAATAAAACAACGAGTTTATATTTCTGTATGGATAATTGAATACAAAAACAAAACACRAACAAATATTTGAATTTTGTTCATGTTTTGTTTAATTTTTACTCAACTCAGTATGGACACACATGTTTTGTTTGTGTTTTATTTTTTTCAAACTTCAAAAAGAAGGGTTTGAGTTTGGTTTTTGTTTTGTTTCTGTGTCGTCTCTGTGTGGACCCGGCATAGTATTATATATATGTACATAGATAACTAATCAATCAATGTAATATAAAATTTTTTAATTCAAAAACAAGTAACTATTAAAATAGGAAAAAATGTGAAAATTAAGTATATCTATCACTATATTTACTTTATATTACATTGAGTATAAAATACAAAAAATTGTTTATGTTAACGTTTGAAGATTATGTCAAAAATTTGAAACAACTTTATGTAGGCATGCATACTAAAAGTGAGTGCACAGCCATATCTAGATATACTATTGGTAGCATACTACTACAAAACAACAAAACAATACTAACGTTATTCCAGGACAACAGCAAGAATGGCTCGATTTAATGAACTGTCTCTTATTAAAGAGTAAGCGAAAACCAAGATTTCAGAGAGTTGTATTTACCTCTACAACGACGACGGTTGATATGGAATTTTTGTTTTCGTTCCAGCTAGTTTTTAATTGATTAAAGATGACATCATGGCCTTCATTAAACAACGATTAAACTTGCATGGGGAACACGCGACACGGTATTTTTATTGTAATTTCTCACTATCGGCGTTGTTCTCTTGTAACGATTATATACAATGGTTCAATGGTAACAATACTAAGTACAATAATTATATTTTTAAAAATTCACATTTGTAACACATTACTACGACCACCGAAGGAAGCACGCGTCAATTTAGAAGTAAAAAAATTTAATCGTACAAATCAAAAAACGATACGATTGATACAAAGCGTGTGCAAAATATCAAAAGTCAAAAACGCACACGCCACACAGTAATCACTAATCAATAAAGTACAATATATTAATTGTAATTTATAATTATTTTACCGTTGTTGTACATACCATCACATTAATATCGGCTATTTTATAATCTTATTCTTAAAGTATAATAAAGAATACAGATATAAAATATTCATTAAACAAATAACAAATTACAATACGGCATTATAGCAATAACAAAAAATATAGTGACKCCATTGGCCAGTGGTTTTTACTTTTTGTTTTTTTTATTATTATTACTGCGGCACGATAGGTTCCTGTAGGTTATCGCCTGTCGGATTGGTGGGGTGGACTCGTCGGTAGGCGATGCGGCGCRCAATTTATCGTTGATCACGGATCGCAACGTCTTTGTCGACGTCGTTTCCTCCATGACTCTTTCGGGGTTCGCACAGTGTTATCAAATCAAGTAGAATCCATCATGGTTTTGTTGTTTTGTAGTGTTTACGTTTTTATTGATGCTAAAATTATGTATTTAATGCGATCCAAGATCAGTCTCACATAGGTTTGGCGGACTTTCGTATCGACCGTTGAGTTTGTGTTCGGCGTACGGTGCTCGCCATGTACTCGAAAGGCAAGGGGTCGTCGGTGCCGTCGGACGCACAAGCCAGAGAAAGGTTAGCGCTTTATGTTTATGAATACCTATTGCACACAGGCGCCTCCAAAGCGGCGCAAACGTTCCTTAGCGAAATTCGCTGGGACAAAAACATCACTTTAGGTGAACCACCTGGGTTTCTTAGCTCTTGGTGGTGCGTATTTTGGGATTTATACTGCGCGGCGCCCGAACGCCGTGACAAYTGCGAACATTCCAGTGAAGCCAAAACATTCCACGATTATGGTTTCGTTAATCCGACCAATTACAACCCTGGTGGCGTCAATGGCATTGGACACAATACTGGACCATCCCCTGGACCGATGGGCCCGATGCCGCCTAACGATTCAATTCCTCCCGGACCCGGAATGCCACCAAGCTTTTTCAACAACTCAAACATGAGACCGTCACCCACTCATCCTGTATCGCAATCAAGCCCTCACCCGCCACCCAATGCTCCCCACAATCAAATGATGAACCAGCCATTTATGGGCCCTAGGTATCCAGGTGGACCTCGGCCTGGTGTACGAATGCCACCTCATATGCCTAATGATTTTAATAGCCCTAACCAGCCTATGATGAATAATATGGATATTATGCGTCCAGGGCCGCCAGTAATGAATCCTAGAATGAATCTATCACGAGGTGGCTATGGTCCTCCAATGCGGGGTATGCCTCCTGGTAATGTTATGGGCCCTGGTCCTGGCCCTGGAATGCATCCTGGTATGGGCATGGGTCCAGTTGGGAGACCGCAATGGACACCGGGTAATCCAAATCATCCGATGGGTTATACATCTTCATCACCTGGAAATTACCCTCAAGGTCCCCCCGGTCCTGGTACACCATTAATGGCAAGTCCTCAAGATTCAAACTCTGGTGGTGAAAATATGTACACAATGATGAAATCTGTGCCTGGTGGTAGTATGCCAGGTGAATTTTCGATGGGAAATCCTGACTCTGCAGGGCCATTAGGTCCAATGGGACCAAATTCAATGGGCCCTGTTATGAATGGTGATGGTATTGAAGGTATAAAACGATCTCCACCTGATGGGCCGAGCACACCAAGAGATGATAGTGGTAGTGGTATGGGTGATTATAACCTAGGAGGATACGGTGGACCTGTGGACAACGATCAAAATGAATCTGCGGCAATATTGAAAATTAAAGAAAGTATGCAAGAAGAAGCGAAAAGGTTTGAAAAAGATTCTGACCATCCAGAGTATTATATACCATAATAGTTGCAGGCATTTTAAAAGCAACTCATCATCTCTGGTATTTAGAAAAAATTCTTGCCAAAATGTATGTATATTTATATTATTACTTATTATTTATCACTTAAAGGTTTAAAAATTACTTAATATCATTGTAAATAGTTCCCAGCGTGTCATGTGAAAACGCTGTCAATATTATGCGCTTCTTGTATTTTGTTATTTCTTTTATAGTGTTTTAAGACATTTTTGTGGATCACCTTTACTCTTATATGTTATATTTTAGATTATCGGAATTTAGATTTATAACTAATTTAACCAAAGGAGTATTTCTTACATTTCTATTTTGGGCTTACAGCTAATTACGATTATTGCGATGCAAGTTGTCATAATTTGTCTCCTATGGAAGAATGGACATAATATTTATTTCAATACATAATCATTTTGAATTAGAAACCTTTAACTTGAACCAAACATCATATGATTAATTGTAAACAATTACCTAATAAAAACACCATTTTATAATCAACAATAAATATAGTTCATTATATTTTCTAAATAATATAAAAATTTAAAATAGCCTAATTTACCATTTGGTATTTTTGATCTTATCATGAAAATTATGTTAATTTTTAAAATTTGAATATAAATTTAGTTAATAATTGTAATTTCAATAAAATTATTTACATTTTATTTTTCCTGAAGACCATAACTGTTAACACTGAAATTGTTGAAGTTTCAATCTAAAAAACTTATGGTGAATATGATTTGAAACAGAAATTTAGTATTTTCATTCTTATTCTGTTAGTAGATAGCAAGTTATGAAAGTTTAATTTATTTTTATCAAATATTGATATTGGTTTTGTGATGACATGTGCTTAAACCTTGTGTGATGTCTCTTTAAGCATACCTACACATTTATATGATAATCAGTAATCTCTAATTAGTTAAACAACTTAAAAATATCTTTGAAATTTTTTGTTGGATACCAGTTAATTTAAACAATTAGAGGGTTATATTCAGATTTATTATGCCCATAATTTTAATTAATTTTAAATTATTACAAACTTAAATTATTTTTGTTTGAATTATATGTATAAGATGGGGTAAATGAGAAAGATGTAAGATGATTCTCTTATAGACTCATCACATTATCCTAGAGTGTACCATAAACTTATATTGTATATTAATTTTAACATTTAATCTATTTTTAAACCATTTTTGTCTTTGTGTATGTTGCTGACTTAGTGAGAGGACAACTTAAAACTTGTTGTTTAATTTGCATGAATTTTTTTTTTTTTTTGAGAATTATGTAAAACGCTCTATTGCGTTCTGATATTGTTCTTATTTAGTGTTATAAAATATTGTTCTTAATGTTTATTCTACATAGTGTGACTATATTTTCCCAACCAAACCCTGTCCATAAATGTTTTCTTCTTAAAGCTTGATGCAATTAATTGATTAATTTTTTTTTTTTAATTAGTTAAGGTAATATCTAAGTATTCAATATTTGTATAGTATTACAAGTAGTCTAGACATTATTATTTATTATACTGATATAAAAATAAAATATATAGTTTGGCTCAAATGTTTAAAGCGCTTTTAATATACGCGCAGACAATTTTGAATTATTATTAAGTACAATTTATGCTTTAACTATGACTTCTAATTTGAATGACAAATTCTATTAACAATTATTTTTCATTCTTTATCATGTGCATTCATCAATATTTTAATATTTCCAGTTTTGTACTTCAGATATTCTTTTTTCTTCGATTTTAAATTTAATAATTTCCCATCATTTTTTGTTCAAGATTCTGTTGTAACAAGCTAAATAATCTAAAAAATTAATCTGAATTTATATACATCTATTAATAATTCTAATTTGGTGTCAACATTATATGTCAAGTATTGTAAAGTAAATCAAAAAATTAAATATGGTTATTTAAAATTGTATTGTTAATTTTCAAGAACCTCAATAGCATATTATATCTTAATGTATCATAATGGTCTTATATCAATATTATAAGTAGATAAAATGTCAAATGAGAGGATCTATATTGCTTAATTGTATATAATATTGATGTGTACATATAGGCTGTGGATAAAAATAATATTTAGACAATTATAAAAAAAAAAATTGAAAGCAATCTACCTATTTATTGTTAATCATACAAAACCTAATTAAATTTTAAGGTAATCTAGAAAAATATATACATATATAATTATATTATTGACAAATCTTTTATAATTCTTTCCATCTTCATTTTTATTCCCTTGTTCAATCTCTAGTCTTTTTGCCTTTATCTTCTTAGTTACTTAAAAATGAAAAAAATACATTATTTATACATACATGTATTATTTACCTAAACAGGTATAATATTATATGTTAAGTCAATTAAATCTACAATTAATGTCATAAAAACAAAAATAATATATATCTTAGTTTCTTTTAAACATTATTTGTGTTTTGAACTTTAGGTCCTATTATAACGAAATTTAATTCTAATAAATATATATAATATTATATTATTATATAGTTTACAAAAAAATATCACTGTCTATCTTATTGATACCTATATGACTGAAAAGACATTTTAACTTCAATATTTGCCTCCATGAAATCATATTGAAGAATTAGTTTTAAATATGACCTAACTAATAGTAGAAAAGTATAAATTCAAATAAATAAATGTTTCCTATTGTTCAGAATATTGCATTGCATTGGAAAATTTATCAAAAAATATTTTGTTGCACCATCCAACAAAGGTCAAAATGTAAGATATGAGATTTCATTTTCATGACTTCATGTTATGGTTAATGAACAACTGTCAAATATTACTTATCTAAGTGATAAGTATGAGGTGTTTTTCGAACGATAAAATGTTTAGAATATAGTGATTAGCTAACAGCTTTTGCATTCATAACAGAGAAATTACTGAATAATAATTAAGGAATTCTAATAGTTGATACATTTTTTATTTGAAATAATTATATATTTAATGATGAATACTGTTCAAAATATTTTCAAGGCCAAATTGAATAATGTTTTTGGGATGATTCATGTTAAACCATTACCAGGTAAGAGTGTATAATTATACAATGTTAGATACATTTAACTATTGCTATTAGATAAAATTGTATTCCTGTGTTTTAAACTTTTAATAATGATGTTTAGGCACACCGTTGTATGATAAAAACATTAAACAAATAATATATGCTGCTTGCAAAGAGGCTGAAACATATATGAAATGTGGAGTAGTAAGCATTTAACAATTTGACTTAATACAGTATCCAATGCAAATAATGTTACAATTGTTATTAACCATAGGATGGAATTGTYGTTGAAAATATGCATGACATACCTTATATGCCTGCAAAAAAAATAGGTCCTGAAATTGTGTCCTCAATGACTAGAGTCTGTACAGCAGTTAGACAATTGGTACCTGAACATATACCTTGTGGTCTACAAGTGGGTTGGAATTATACTAATTGTTGTACGGTATTTACTGATTTTTCGATAATCACTTTAGATATTGGCTGCAGCCAATGAAGAAGCAATTGCTGTTGCATATGTAACAGACTTCCAGTTTATTAGGGCTGAAGGTTTTGTTTTCGGCCATGTTGCTGATGAAGGTTACATGGACGCGTGTGCTGGTAAGTTATTGAGATATCGCAAGTCAATAGGAGCACAAGAAGTGTGTATCTTTACAGATATAAAAAAAAAACACAGGTAATTTTTTTGACTAAAATATAATATTATCATTTTAATGATAGATAAAACTGATAATATTTGTAAGTTGTAAAATATTAAGGACTTTATCTTTTGGTCGGACAAAATATATTATTTAGTTCTTGTTCTTCATAGTTCACATGCCATTACTCAAGATGTAAGTTTAATCGAAACTGCCAAAGCAGCAGAATTTTTTTTAACTGATGGAGTTATAGTGACTGGAACTGCGACGGGACAACCTGCCAAACCACATAATGTTGCTGGTATACAATTATTGTTTATTAAATTTTTTAATGAACATGGTATACATTGTATTGAATATTTAATTCACCATTATATTTTATAGAGGTTAAAAATTCTGTGAATATTCCAGTACTTGTTGGATCTGGTGTAACTCTAAACAATGTACATGAGTACAGAGGTGTAGACGGATTCATTATCGGATCTCACTTCAAGAAACATGGCATGTATGAGAAAATCTACTTCATAGCTTAATCAATAATTATACATGAACCAAATTTGACACAAACTTTTTTTAACAGGTGGCAAAATGAACTCGACGAAACTGTTATTTTAGAATTTATAAATTCCCTAAGATAAGACCTATAATTCTTATATATGGGTAAGACTGAAATAAATTAACTTAATTTATTTGTTATAGAAAGTAAGTTATTGTTTATTTGATGATTCCATGTAAAAAATTTTAACCATAAACTATTGGCACAATATGTTATGATTTACAATTTTAAAGTATGACATACCAAAGTATTGGGCAAAAAAAATAAACTAATAACTAGTTACATATTCCTAATAAAAATAAATTAAGTAATAAAAATAATTGTTATACTTACAATACAAACTTATATAAATGTGAAAAACATTCAAATTTAAAAATAATCGTAATATTACAAATTTAACTCTAAGTAATATATGTTACTGCATTAGGAAGCATTACCACAAAAGATATTATTCAAACATGATTAGTTAATTGTTACAAACTACATTTTATCAAAATGAACTGAGATCTGAAATGGATGGAGCACAAAAACATGGAGTTAYGAGTATAATTATTTACATYTTTCATTTTCTATACTGAATTTCTTCCCACTAATTTTTTTAATGTTGATCCAAAACTGAATACRAGATTCCTGGCTGAAGCCATATATGACGCATTTTGATTTGACCTAACAATTGTTGAATCCTAAAAATATATATATATTATAAGAAAAAACATACAACAGGTTATAATTTATTAAAAAATTTGAATATTTAATATTGCCTTAGAACTATTTACCGATTTCATTTTTTTAGTCGGGCTAGAATAACAGTTTTCATCATTTTTATTTGTAGGATTTTCCTTTTTTCTTTTGACCAATTTCAAAGGACCACATCTCTTTACTGGCATCAAAGAGTTGGCTTTGCACTAAAATAAAATTATTTGTACAAGAACAATTAATTATCAATATGCCTATTATTAACATACCTTGTCAATAGATTGCTGCAGCATTTCTACCCATGAACATGTGGCATGAGGTGCATCCATTGTGTAAAATACAAATTCTACAGACTGACAATTTATTGAAAACAGTCCTCTTTTGTACATGATAGATTTAGCTTCACACTTATTGAGTGGCAGTACTCTGAGACAAACCAACTTTTCTGGATCCACCCACTCTTTACAATATAGAATCATGTCACTAAGCAATATCAAGTAACGAGGAATAGACGTACTGCCCTCAGGTGACACTTTCATTAGAGGCCCTTCTTTAATTAATTTACGTCCTGGTAGTACAATGTTGACTTTGCCACAACCAGAAAGACTACGTTGAATGCTCACCAATCTGGACATGTTTTCTTGTTCTTGAACTAAATTGTTGATATGGTCTGCAACTTTACTTATTTGTTCTACAGCAGCTTTTAATGAAAAATTATATTACAAGACAATGAAACAATATTAAAACATAAACTTTATAAAATGAAATAAATCTTTACATTAGTGTTATTTCATACCTTTAATATCATTGTAACCTTGATGTTCAGTAGGAGTATAATTCTGAAGTTCACGTAAAAGCAACAGATAACGAGGTATTCTTTGAATGGGAGTTATCAAGAGTGAATTTAATTTAGCAGATACATCTGGTCTTGATTCTTGTGCACATACAAAGCGATAGAGTTTTGGATGAGATTTTGGTAAGTCCTAAAAGTAAAAAAAAATTAGTTTTCAAATCGATCAAACAATAAAAATATTTTTACTTGAAGTGTATCCAATACATTCTTGTAATTGAATGCGTAAACTGAATAAAGTTTAAGAAATGGGGCAGTATTCAAGAAAACTTGCCCAATATTTTCTTTGGCCGGATGTAATTGAACCAAAAGTTCTTTATTCACGTTAAGTATTGTTTCAACATTGCCAAACAATTTACCAATAACTTGAGTTGAGGCAAGTTTCTGTTCTTCTATTGGGCGTTTAAAGTACTATAACCAGACCATTGAATATTAAGTTGAAATAATGATAAGGCATAAATAGGTAACTAGTATCAGACTWACTGTGATCAATTTGTCTAACTGGTGAATATAGTTAGTTTCAGATACACATATCTCTTGAATGGATCGAATCCTTAACTTCGCTATGCGCTTTTCATTATCATCACAAATATGTTGGTCCAAATCCCGCAGTACTATTGTACAACAACAACACGATTAATAGCAAATACAATTAATAGGGAGCATAGTCGGTTATATCGCTTTACCTTTTTGTTTCGTTTTAGCTGAAAGTATGTTCTGTTGATCCAACACTCCCCGCAGTTCTTTGACAAAATGATTCGGTGGAGTCATAGGCACAAACGAACTCGTTTCGTCCATCTTTTAGTTAATTATATCTGCAGAACACGGTAAACATGAGAAGTTTAAAACGACGGAAAACGAATCACTAAAACTGAATAGATTATTGAAATACTTAATATATAATAATTTTAATTATAATATAATAGTATAACTTCTGTCAAACTTCATAATCATACTCAAATCTAATAGTCGGCTGCGGCGGCAATTGACATTCGAATTACTATTTATTACCAGTTAAGACGTTTTTCGGAAACGTAAAAAAGTACGTTAGGATCATTACAGTGTGACCAGAATACCAGATCGATAAAGACACCGATATCGATTAGAATGTTAGAAAGCTAATTTCTTTGTGAAAAATTCTAAAGCTTTAAAAACAGTCGAATTGACTGCACCTGTTAATCGTAGCAGCCAAAATAACATCTTGCTAATTAGTAATTTCAAGTATTATTCATCAAGTCTTCATATTCAATCCACCATATTGTGTCCAATGTCCATGTTACAACCAAAAAGTCACAAAATAGATAAATTTTATTTATGACCGATATCAGTTTGCCGCACTGATTTTTGCGATACAAAGAAATAATGTCCGTCATCGGCGTATGCACTGTGCACTGCCAGAGCCGGAAAACTTCATTTCGGATGGCGATCAATTAACTACTTTTTTTGAAATAACCGTCGTCGACCATAGAATTCTGATTTTGTACATTGTACCAGACACCAGTAGGAAGTATTCAATAATTTTGTATTCTAAATTCTGTATGTTTACATTCAAATGTTGATTATTGACCAAGTATTCAGTATTTCAGTATTTCGGACTTTAATAGTTTTATTTTTATAGACTACTTGTGTGTATGTATCAACTGTCGGAATACGTGCGTTCTTTGATTTCCTGAAATCCTTTTACGTCTCTTCTTCCGTTTCGTTTGTTTTAAATTTGCATTTAACATGAGTAACTTCGCGCWCAAATCGAAAGAAAACCGAATACAGAGACCGCGACCSYCATCGGTAACCACTGTGTCCTCTAATACAACATCATCCGTGCCTCGTCGCACAGTAGGTTTTGGGACGACTACTGTGACGGCTGCAAAACCGAGTGGTGCTCAGTACCGTCGATCCGTACCCACAACTATTGGCAAGACACCGGATCTACTACACCCTCCCAAGTTTGGCGGCCAACAGCTGTCCAACCGGGGTTGTAAGCCCGACATCACTAAAAATCTGCCATCCAAACCTGTACAAAAACCACCGTCACAGCCTTGCGAACCAGAGGYCCAGTCAAGGTGAGATGATTGTCAATTATTAATGGATGTGGGTGGTCTTGTTGACAGAATGGTGTCGATTTAGTAATCCAAAAAAAATGTRTGGTTTTAAAATATTTTCATAGTACCTGATGGTTCATATCCCTAAGCACAGTGCACTACAATTTCTTAAATAAAAATGTGAAATTTTAGTCTGTACCTTCCAACCTATCAGTCACTACCTATGCATGATAACTTGGACTGAAGTTTTCTAGACTCTTTGTCTGAAAMCCTWAAGATATATACACTTGTGAACTGAAGTACCAAGGGTGATAGTGAATTACCCGAGGAATTACCTAAACAATAATATTTATATTCAATGGCAACCATTCAGTAACCAACCATCAAACCCCACAATTAAAAAACCAAGGTTTTAAAAAAACAACTTTCAAGCTAATAACCATAGATGTTGAAGTCTCTACACAATAAAAAAAATGTATCATATGCTCTTGATTTGTCTAAAAAAAAATACATGCATATTTATACATCACATACATTGTTCTGCAACCTTTCTAGACAAATATGAAAAAACTAAGTCCTCAGCCCTAATGATAACTGATGCCTCTTGGTTTGTATCTAATTCTACCCTCTACATCAGGGGTCACCAATTAATATTTTCCGCGGGCCATTAAAATTCAAAGTACATAATATTTATTATAATATGCCAGTTGGCCAAAAATATTTTATTTCTAAATAAACAAATATACACTTACAACTTATTTAACTAAAACTAATGAAAATATAATTAAATTATTGGCTTTTTCTCTCAGTCTCCATCAATGGTATCATATCCTCTTTTTTCTTTGGTACTCCTGAGCTTAATTATTTGCTAAATTGTACCTTCCCTCACTATACTTTGTTAACTTTTTTMACATACCTATGTAGGTAACTACTTTTAAATTATTGAGATTAAAAAAACAGTAATGTAATGTAATAATCTGTATATTTTTATATTTTTTATTTAGACACAAAAAAGAAATGAAATATTTTATTTATTTAATGAATAAAAAAAARTGTTCTATAAAATTTTGTCCTTGACAAATATAAAATTTTTCTACCCCTAACTTTTTCTCATAACTCAAATTGGGAACCACTGATCTACAATAAGAGGACACAACACAGCATTTATTGTTTCCGTTTTAAAAAATGTACAACACGGCTAATTTTATGTTTACAACTATACCTACATTTTACTCTGTATTTTTTAAAATTAAATGGAATTTACCTCTTATAAAATTTTAAAAACATGAATACTATTCAGGGTATCTTGTAAGATTTTATTAACATTATTTTTAAGCAAGTTATGATCATTTTGAAATATTCAAAAACAAAAATACTGTAAAAATTGTCATAACTTGATAATATATTTAAAATAATAATATCATAAAAATCCTCTTGCCTTTAATTTTCATAGGAGATAAATTCAATCTAATTTTAATGATTATAAAATAGGATTAAAGTATATATTATTGTGAATRTAAAATTGTCTATGCTATATGTTTGTAAGACGGGAAAACAAAAGCATATGGTATCCTCTTAGCATTAAAATCCCATATGTTAACCAATTATCCGCCAAGCACTGAAACAATTGACTCAAAACTACAAAACAAACTTATGCAAGCTTGTTAATAATATACGCAGCAAATATTCCAATCGATGCTATTGGCCATAGTTGCCAATATTTATGATCAATAAAAAAAAAAAGCGGGTAAGTCGTGTATGTCGCTCTGCTGTACAGTAGGTTACAAGTGGGTTA